CTCTAAATCACGACAGAGCTTCCATTGTGTTTTACAGATGGCTTTAGACACGCACCTCTTTCATGGTCTTCTCTGCACATATTAAACCAAAAATCCAAAAGATGTCATAAGACTGTTGCCACTGAGTTTTAGACCAGGTCTTGTGTAATTTGCCTTTTCTCCCCGTTTCCCTTTCTTAAGAATGACTTCTTAACAACTCCCATTAAGACCATTTCTGATGCTGCTTAGGCTCATTTGTTCAGTAGATGGTTCAACTGAATGAAGTCATCTCTCAGGTCCTGTTTCAGATCTTTCCTCATATTTAAAAATAATAAATTAATTAAAAACAAAAGAATGATGAATGAACAGATAATGTTCACCTGCTGTGGATACTTTTTAGTCCTGCCACTCCTTCACTTGTTGAGTTTCCTCAGATTTTTTAAAGTGTGCAGCTCAAACAAAACTGTCTGAAAATGGTCAAGTAAAAGGTCAGGACTGAAAATGAGTGAAAAAAACCTCATGTCTAAAGAAAAAGGCTCCTCGGACATGAAATATTTAAAAAATGAGATGTGGCTCAAGATTTAGGATAGCACTGTAAACACATCACTACTAAAAAAACTGAATATCAACAAAGTTAGACTTTACATTATCTTAAACTAGACTTTTAAAGCTGTACTCAGCTGTACTCAGATATGAAGGAAATGTTTTAGACTGGCCACAAAAAAATGTTAAAGAAAAAAAACTTGTCTTGTGATACTCTACAAAAGCATTGATATGTATTTCTATTAAAGCTCTTTGAATTTTGGGAAAGGTGAAAGCTGAAACAGAGCTGGAACATGACCAAATGCAGTCTCTTTCCTCCCCATTTGCTCTATTGACCCTCAATCAAAGGCAATATAAAAAGCAACGGACTGTGGCTCAGCAGGGATGTTCAGAGAAGAGTTACTTCAGAGGTGCTTTTAAATTTCCCCTCGAGGTATTATTCAGGGTTAAAGTCACCCTCTGTCCTCTCACAGGCTGGACAAATTTACTCCACTCACTCTTCACCTTAATTTTACTGCTGCACCCCAAGGCGCTATACGGAGTAGTGGATGTCTCTACCCCTGGTGCATGTGCTCTATACTATGTTTCCTCTCTGAGCAGACGGATTCTATCAAAAGCCTTTCCCTTCCTCAGGATGAGGCAGATTTGGCAGGAGTTCTGTAATGCAGGGCCAGAACCTGCACTTTCTAAAACCTTCCTTTTCCCCGGAGTTCAACATCATAATCTTAACTATTGTCTTTATCACCATCAGCGTCATCACAGGATGTTGTTAGAAGGAAAGCCGGCTCTAGGCTGGAGTGTAAAGAGCTGAAAAACAAAGAGAATGTGCGAGTGTGGGGCTTTTTTTGTATCTTTGGATTTGTTGCCACTTTAACAAATGTGGGAACCACATTTTCAGCTAGCACCAGTTTATAGCTGCGGTTAGACCATAAACGTTCCACTTGTTTCAGCAGTCAAAAAGTGATAAGAGCAACTGTTTAGAAAGTTCAACCTTTACTCAGGTCTCTCTTGCCTTCATGTTGAAAGAGTGAGAAATGATATGGTAACCAGATGACGAGTAAAGTGAACGTTCCTAGTTCAAATGCATGTGCGTACCTCTGAAAGAGAACAGCCAATTTTACTTTCATAACCGATAATTATCATAAGTTCAACAATGTTTCATTTTGAATTCTTGAATCCTGAATACGTATCCGGTATGGCAGCAGCAAGAATAAGTTATTCATTACTTCCCTTAGCTGGCGTTATCAAGGAGAGGAACAATTTGTGAATGTTAAAGCAAAGCAATCAAGGGAAATTACTGTTACAAGGACTGAAACTACCCTCAATTTATTCGCTGAAAAAATGGTTCATATTGTATGTACAGAGAACAGCAGAAACATTTCTTAATGACACACTGTTGTATAAAGAAAAATTGCACAGTGCTTACATATTAATATTTTTTTTTCCTTTTTTTTCACTACCATAGTACCATGTTGTGGATAATAAAACACAATAAAGGAAGGCTGTAAAAACACAATGAAAATATGGCAATATCTTTCTCATTTATCCCAGGACTTTAAAAAAATCTCCCGAAATAATAGCTTTATGGGGGAAAATATATCCATATGTCACAGAGATGGAGAACAAACATTAATTACACAACACAAATAATAAATGTGCATTATGGGATATCATCTAATTTGCATAGGAGAGATGGGGAATAAAATCATTAGATATCACGGGCGCCTCTACAGTTCATGAGACATGAAACACGGACACGTTGGTTAAAACAGCTGCTGTGTCAAAGTTCCTTTACATAAACACATGCACGCCCATGCAAACACACACACACCACCACCAACAACAACAGCAACCACCACTTTCATCTACACAACCAGATCCAACAATTCTGCCCAGGCAAAAAAAAAAAAAAAGATGCAAACTGACAGACAGAAGGAGGAGATAAATGTGGAGAATGAGAAGAAGAGACAGCAAAAGTGAGCGCCGCCTCGTCAGTAACCTCTCGTTTGTAGTGCGGACTCAGAGGAATAGTTGTGATTACTCCATTGACTGAATCATCTGCAAGGTCAGGCCTCCCATCTTCTCTCCCTCCTACTCCTCTGCTCTTCTCCCACTCGGCAGCAGAGTGGTTCATATGGCTGCCAAGACATATTCAGAGACATATTGGAGAATCTATTTACTGGCAGCATTCACAGACACTTAACCACATGGCCACCTACATACAAGCACGATGCAAAAATTGGTAGCGAAACAAGCTTACTCATGCTCTCCTTTCAATATCCTTGCATGTGTGAGGATACTTTTTTTTTTGCTGCTTGTGAGGACCGTAATCGATAATCTCACCAGCGACTGTGAAACTGTAGCCTGGAGTTTTATCTTAATCCTAATTCTAGTCTTGTGCTGTTATATTTTCAGCGTACTTAAGTAGGCCAGGGTGGAGAGATCTGCTGTATGTGCTGCCAGCGCACTGCAGTGTCCTCCGAGAGAACTCTGTACGGACCAGAAAGCAGCGTTATAGGAAGAACAAGGCCTCGGTGGTGGCCGCAGCTGTCCGTGTGTGTGTTCCCAAAGAAGTATAATCCCAGACTCGGCGCTTAACCCGGGGCTCAGGAAATAACAGAGGTTTAGCGAAGCAAATTCATTTGAATGATCACAAAGGGGACAAAAGGGAAAAGTGCAATTCATTCTGTGAGAACTCCAGTCAGTGTATTATATCGAATGCATTTTTTTTTAAGCAACAATGCTTCGGTCTGCTGTCTGTGGTAGGCTGATTTGTCTATGGCTGGAACATGGAATTAGAGAGACCTGATTTGTCAAGCTAGCTTTTAACAGACTTCTTGGTCATGCAGATGTCTCGCTGGGTTTCTTATTACATGTGCCTGATCTCAGAGTTGAGAATCAAGGAGTTCGCTTGTTAGATACATCCTTGGTGTTCAAAATAAATCCATCCAAGCGTGACTGAAGTTGACACAAAGAAACCACCAGAGGTCTACATGTGTCATATGACAATGCTGGAGATCTGCTTGTTGAGCACATTCACCATGAAACAGCATATTGTTATACCACAACAGTTACAAAAGACCGTTGTGTAATGTAGCAAAGGAGAAGTCTGATCACCAGCCTGATCACATTTACATCTCAGTTTCAAGTTGAAAGCATAACCTGTTTTTTTAGTGCATATAAACATATATCCAAGTCATTTTTCCGAACCTGATCTAAATCTAAACTGTAACTCAAATGTAATCTGCACTTTTCTCCTTAAGAAAAAAAAATTGGCCTCACATAGCAAATCAGGTCCTCAACTCCAGAAGAGTGAATTCCTGTTTGGAAATAATGGAAATAATCATGAAGGTAAACAAAATCAGCTCCATTGTATCTGCCCCATGGATATGCAGCACTACACCAAGGCCACCCACAGCAGAGCTGATGCAGTTTCCCATGTAACTGCCCTGATGAAATATTCAGCGAAGAACAGCTCAGACACCTAAAGGCCAGCAGGCTTCGGTTACGGCCAAATCAGTCCAGGCGAGGCCAGGGGCCAAGCGGCACGCCGCCAAGGTTGCCATTTTTTATCTCCTCACCGTACGTGAGAACAAACACAAACGAAGGTGTGCATTTATTTTTAATGACGTACATTAATTAATAACCCAGACCTGACCCCATTTGTACTGCTGGATTCCCTGAGTGGGTGGAGCGGAGCAGAAATAAAGAAGATCTAAAGCCGTTTTCCTCCACTGAGAGTGCTGTATATTGATGGCGACAATGTGAGAGAGGGGGGAGGGGGGACTGATAAAGCAGCCAGCAGAAGGGAAGAGAGAATTTAGGATTATCATACTGAATACAAGAGGGGGTTGGAAAGAGGATACAGACTTTGAGTAAGTCCTGTATCTGAAACCAAAAGGGACTTTTCCCTGAAGTGAGGGGGATGGGTGCTCATGCCCAAAACCCAAGCTCTGACTCCACAGTTCACACAAGCTTTTTAACCTCCACACTCTCCCACTACATGTCAGCTCCTGCCAGCACTCTGTCACCTTCTCTCTCTCAAATACACACACACACACACACACAGTTAAAGTCGCCATGAACATCAAAAATAAGCCTCATTCACACAAGCGTGGTATCGACTGAGGTCTAGCAGATGCGTGGTAGAAAAAGCATGTCTGGACTGAGACTTGCCCATTAGGTTACGACTGTTTAGGTGCAGCGCTGCTGAGATCTCCTCAAACAGTCCTCTGTTGTGATGGCAGCTTTTTCCGGGTGTGTTAGAGTCAAAAACACCAAACAATCAAATGACTTTAAAGGCACTTAAAGGATAAGCATACAAGGTATGAATGATCACAATGCTGGACTATAAAACAGCTTAAAAAGGATCACGGTTCTTAATTAAAAAAAAAATCTTTCTTTAAATATAAACATTTTTTACAGCAGTCCTATAAAAATCTTTATATTTCGTATTTTTATTTTAAAAAAATCCCACAAATCTTTTTTTTTTTTTTTTTCCCTGTAAATGCTTGTTAGGATCAGTCCTCATCTCCTTAAAGACATCCATATTCTTCCTTTTCACCCTCTCAGGAATAAAACAGCCTTCCCTTCACTGAACTCTGATGCCTGCTGAGCTTGGCGATTTGGGACGGTGATGGGGGCACGTCCTGTCTGTAGGGCCCCTTGGGTTTTGAGAGGGCCCGAGCTATGGCAGAGCCAGTGGCTTGAGTGCTGTCTCTGTTCTGGTCAAAGGTGATGCCGCTGGGGGTTTCCTGTGCAGGAGGAGGCCTGGTTTTGCTGGCCTCCTGCTCTCGACGCCTTTCCTCCTGCCTCAGCAACTCCTGGGTCTCGAGGAAGACGCGGGCGTTAATACTGGGTGTTCCCAGGTAGCCGTTACGTGACCCCTGGCCCCCGGAGTAGCGAGGATTTTCCTTGGATGGCTGAAATCCCTCTGCTGGCACGTACATCTTATCCCACGAGTCCTGGGACGCCGCACTGTTGTTCTTGCGAGGTTGCCTAAACACAGAGAAACAGGTAGTAGGGTCAATTGCACTGTTTTCTCAGTCACCTTAAGCAGCAATTAAATCTAAAGTGAACAGAGGTGGATTTTATTTGATTCTGTTTAAAAAAGCCCCCTGGGTCAGCAGTATTCAAGGGGAATTCGAAAGGAACTGCACTTCAGCGGAGAACGGGATCATTTTCACATTTGTGTGAGAGCTAAAAGCAGGATGTGGCATTCACTTAAAATACTGAAAGCAACATCAATGGTGCAGAGGGGTCTGTTTTAGGCTCCTGCGTGATTAGACTGAATCCAGTAACATAAAAGAAAAAAGAAACGAGACATGAAAGAGGCAGGAAATAAATATCGGAAGCATGAAACGCGTGCAGGACTATTATTTCCACATTGTAAACAAACATAAATGTTAAAACCTCACTGAGAAAATGCTGGCTGTCATCCATTTAACTTGGTATTGGGGATGCAGATGGGTGCACTTACAGACCAGACAGAATAATGGTAGGCCTCAGAGAGTTATCTGGCTTCTACTCATCTTCGACTTGCCTGTCAGCCCATGCACTGACAGGCCGGCCAAAGATTTATGGACGTATCTTTTGTTAGAAACAAAATTTAAACAAAAGAGCTATCATCCATGCATGCTTCCCACCACACGTGCTCCCCTTTCACCTGGACAGCTGTCATTGAAATCTGCAGGGTCTTTGGCTAAAGTGTTAAATCTTCTCCTCCATTATTAGAATCCATTAGAGCAGACGTGGGATGGAATATCTGTGACAGTGTCTTTTGCATCAGGGGTGCTAAGAGAGATCCCATTCACACCTCACTGACCCGCTGTGTGCTTAAAAGGCTTTTGAGTACAAGGCACAAGACTGCAGAGGGAGACAGGGGCCCGGTATGCTTTTAGGCCAGAACACCTGCATTCCAGGGAGGCTGTGAGGAACAGGCAGAAGACACAACTGTGTGGTTTTACAATTGAGGGAAGTGGGACTCATTTCTCAATTTGTACAAACTGAAAAAACAAAACAAAACCCAACAACCATGGTTATTAATTGCACAATCAACTAGATGAAACTGATGAATTTTACTCCATTCAAAAATATGCCCATTTAAAGTTTTGATGGAAGTGGTGACACATGTCCAGCCAAGTCAGTCCAGCATTTGGTAAGAAAGCACTTTTGAATATAAGCATGGTAAATATATATAGGCAGATATATTGGCAGTGGAATATGTACGATGGCCCTGAGTGTTCAAACGCAGTGCAACTGAGGCTACGTCCACACTAGCCCGGATAGATTTGGAAACGGTGTCCAGGCATCTTTCTTGGCCTTATGACAACAATTCTGATGGCTAAA